CCTCCTCCTCCTCCTCCTCCTCCCCTCCCTCCTCTCTCTCTCTCTCTCTCTCTCTCTTTCTCTCCTTTTTTTCTCTCACACTCTCTCTTTCTCTCTCTTTCCTCGTTCCTCCAACTTATTCTCTCCAACTCAACCGAGAGAGTGGACGCAGCGTGGGCGAATCCCCGAGGGACTTTATGATCCGCCGTGACCAGATTCATCTCTCTTGCGAGGCTATACGCGCGCTGACGCTGCTCGCTGCACGCCGTTCTCGCTACCATTCCCAATTTCATACTTCCTGGTCCCGCTAAGAGGTTCTACATGTATTTGCCAGAGTCGCCGGTTTTCTGCGCCGAGAGATCCTCGGTCATGGTAGAAATACGGAGAACGGTTTCCCACAGCGTGATCGATTCTGCGTGCGCTTTTCACTTCTGCCTCAAAAACACCTCGATTGCATCGAAGGCGAGGCGGACGTGGAAGGGAGAAACCTTCAATTTGATCATTTTCATGTGTCGAGGATAAATCGAAGAACCGATCAGATATATCGGAATATTGGAGGCACACTCGCGCGTCGAAATTATCTGCAAATTTGCGAATATATACTATCGTTTCCCCCGGTTAAATAAATTTTTAATGGCGTTAATGAATATCGCGCGCGGAGATGATCGATAATTGCTGAATAACGTAGAGCGAATACAACAGCCGGCAAAGCGACGCGTCCATGTCCGATAGTATTTTTAACTTCATGCCGCAAACAATTACATTCGATATAAACTGCTAAACATTCGCCAGTTTTCCGTTCAAGTGGCAATACAACTATAAATAACTTCATTTCGGATTCTCTTTATTCAATGGATGGCGATCAGATTGTTCGGCTAACTCGTCCGATGCCACGCTTGCTCCTTGAATTTTTTTCACATCCTATCGTCGATTGGTTCCTCGATTTTTCCGGCGATCCCGGTCGCAGATTATCCGTTCTTCGAGGCCTGACGCGGGCCCGGGTCAGGGAGTGGCGTAAAAAGGAAGTGGGTGTGAGCACACGCGTAGCGATGCGTGACGTCGGCCGCGATGTGGCCATTTTGTGTTCATAGACACGGGACCATCTTTGATCGAGAACGGAGATCTCGTTAGCGGAGCGATTAGAACAAATCAAGGCAGCAGATTTTTTTATGCCCATACGCAACCCATATAGCATCATCCGCAATATATGGCATTCAAATGTACAAGATATCCTATGCTAACTATATATTTCATCAACATATTCCGAAGATCGCAATCCGTATTGCGAAAACTTGATATGAAAATTTGACTTATATAAAGTTATATAAGTATATTGGTCAATGGTATCGTGTAAAATTTTATATCAACTTTAATACCTAATGTAATGATTTAAATAAATTAGCAATTTGTTCCCTTTTTTTTATAAACGAATACGCACACTATAAAAATGTTTGATGTCAAATTGATTAATCAGCAAAAGTTTCAACATTTGCATATTGTTTAAATTTCTTTTTGACTAAAATTTTTAAAATTTATTCATTTTTCCATTTGAAAATAATTACTAAATTTAATGTTAAAGTATTAATTAAAAAATTTAATTTCTGTTTCATTTATTCGAAAAAACTAAAAATGTTTAATTTAGTACCATTATTTTATTATTAACTTTTTACTCGTCTGAAAGAACGGAATCATATAATTTTAATAATAGGAAAATATCGTTACGTTTCATTCGACAATGTAATTTTATTTTTTAAATTTTTAGAGATATTATATTTTATGATTTATTTAAATCATACTTTACTTTCTTAAAGACATAAAAATATTTTATAGAAAGTAATAACAATAAATTAATTTATATTTATATTATAAGTACTTTTCGCAAAAAAAGAATTTCTTTTAGACGTTAGATTTAATAACATAATAATTAAATAACAGAATAATAGAATTGAATAAGATTGAAATTAATGAGAAATATAAACAAAAAGCAAATTCGGCATGCACTTAAGTTTGTTATAACATTATATTGTGTTAAAATTTAATAAAATTCAAAGATAACGATATTTGGTTGGTATACAATGTAGCTTCCGATTACGTACGGCGTGTTATTGCGTACACGCAATTAGTCTTGTTGTCATTTGTGCAACGAGACTCGAATTGATAGTGACGCGGCTGCTTCACGTGTCGTTATGTTGTTTTCTCTCGAGATGCGAGCGCGACAAGTAATAGGAGCAAATGCGATTACTCGTTACGGATAGTTATCAATCTTAATTAATCGTGTTGTATTGCGCAATATGTAGATAGAGTTGGCAACGGCAAATTTTTCTCTCATTAACAAGTACCAACAAATCAATTTAAGTCAAACGGTTTTATTGGTTTTATTTGGTTAAAATTTAAAAGAATCCGCATTTCAATAATTTTCAATAATATAGAACAAGTTCAGTATTCATCGATGTATCGACGATGTATCTGTCGAGATATGTCTTTTTCTATTCCGAATTTCTACATTGCGATAATTTGCGAAACACCGAGCGAATTGTAACTTTCACGCGATCACGCTTTCTCCGCATTTTTTTTCTGTCGTAACAATGTAATAACTTACGAGAGTGCCGTGTACAAAGTGCCATGCGATCGTCGTATTGTGGTGATTAGTGCGCGCGCGGTCGTAATTAGCCGTATTTTCGGGAGTGTAAGAGCCACAAAGAAATCTGAGAAGAGAAAGAGGCCCGGGGAGATGGCGAAGTAACCTTGGGGTAGAAGTTTATTACAATATATACCTTTTTTTTATACTTGAAATGATCGTTTATAATTATACATATTTTACGTACAATTATTTCTTGAAATATTAATTGACGGCGAAGCAACTTTGGAGGAAGTTTATTATTTATCTTTTCTGCATTTAAAGTACGATCGTTCGTAATTATACATATTTTATGTGTGCGACAATTATTTCTTAAAGTGTTAATTATTTCGAGTATTGTTATAATTTAGAAGTATTTTTATCTCATTGTTTAATGTTGTTTGCAGTTTACACTTCTGCTATGCGTCATATCGATGACTGAAATTATTTTATTTTGATTGAAGATAATGGTCCGTATTCTCAATTCACTTTTATTGATAAAAGTGTCTCTAAAAATGGTTTAGAAATCACCTGATTGGCTGAGAAACTATTTGTACTTTTATAACAGTGAATTTAGAATATGGACCGATGAATCTATAAATATCCATATTATTAATTGATATTATTGATTGGAATTTAATTTCTTTCTAGAAAAATAGAAAAAAAGAAGAAAGAATAGAAAAAATAGGCAAGAAAAATAAATGTGAAATGATATGATAATAAAAATAAAATAATACAATATTAATGTGGGTACATCACATAATATAAAAATAAAGAGAGATTTAGATTTGCAAACATAATAAGAAATTAATATATTTAGGTATTTCTTTTTCTTTTTTCTTTTTCATTTGAGACCTACATCAAAATTAAATAAACTGATATAAAAAAAATTAAAAATATCTTTCAATATGCATATGTGTCATGAGCATAAATTATACATAAATAAAAAATGTTAAATTAACAATCATGTAGTATATTACAATTATTTTAGTAAAGAAACACGCTATTGATTATTGTATGTATTTATTTTCATTCTGCGCCAAATGTGTGCGCCCTAATTTTTTTATGATTTGACTCATTCATATGTATCGTTGTACCATTTTGAATATCAAGATGTAACTACTTAAACGAAAACTTTACAAGATACCAACTTTGACCGATTATAAATGAAAAATTATTGCGGCTTTGTATATTTTCGTGTTAGCATTTTTAATCTTCAAAATGTGTATCGTTAATATAAAACATCCCTGTAAAGCAGAATCATCCGTTCTTCCTCCTTCGTGTAGGAATTGCTATTCACCTCCTTCATGTAGGAATTGCTATTCACGTTTCTGACATTCTTATTTCTCTTTACGAATCGTCAGCTATTTACAATTTGAAAGAACGTTCTAAATAAAGCGGCCGATAATCGACAATGCGGGCTCCTCTCTTTTCCTCGGGCGGCGATAAAATCCGAAGGCCATTTTACGCGCGGCGCGCAATTCTTTTCTCCCGCCCTCCCGTCGTTCCTTCTTTCCATTTTCTTTTTTTTCTTCGCCGCCGCCGTCTTTCCTTGGCTTTTTTAGCAGCGACGAGGCCGCGAGACACGCCGGCAGACAACCTTCGGTACGATACTTCGGCTGTTCGGCCCCAGCGCGGCTCCGCGGAATCCGCGAAGAGATATTCACCGGTTTGCTGCTCATCTCCTCTTTCTTTCTCGTCCGAAAGAAGGAGCACGGCTCTCCCTCGCTTCGACTCGCTCGCTCGCGCGAACGTTATTTTCTCGAGACGAGAACGCTTTGTCTCCCGATAAGGAAGGCACCAGAAATTCTTGATTCCCTTTCTCTCCGTTCGCGTCTGACTCACAGCTGCTTTCGGAGCTTTCGGTCGAACGATGAGAAGAACACAAACAACGCAAAAGTCCAAAGGATGTATAAAAGATATGGAAAGTATCTCTGAAAGCTCCTGGATTTTTGTCTCGCTCGGAAATAATTTTCTCGCGATAATGTAAAATCCCGCTCTCAATGATTTTTAAATGATATTAAATAGATTTATATATGAATTTTTCTATTTCCTCTCTGCTACGTATTTCATTCCGTGACGTGGAAAAAAGGATACATAAAAAACGTGTACGATCGATAAGAATTAATATGCATCACTAGTCACCCCGTGACTCGTTTCCTCATCGTCACCTCGTGTTATTAATCCGCTTCTAAGAATCGCGCGCTGATAATTCGCGCGTAACACACGCACGTGAAAATCGGTCGCTGACGAACGACAACGAGACGAGAATATGAGGGAGAAAAAAAAGAGAATCTACCTAAACGCTACGAGGGTTGACGACGGAGCACCCTTCGTATTTGCCAATAGGAGACTCGCATCGACTGCGAACGTGTTCGACTAGGCGAGCAGAAAAAAAGGAGCGCGAAGGGACGTCAGTCACAATGGGGTACAAATCTCACCCTATCGGAAACGCCACGGGAATGATTTCATTAGTGTCCGTGCTGGTGATCGAGCATGGAGAGAGAAAAAAAATAGAGACGGAAAGGCGGCCACGAAGGCGGGGTCGAAAAAATTACTGCTTCAGGGGATGAGAGAGAAGGAGAGTTCAAAAGGCGCGATCGGAAAATGGACTCGCGAAAGTCAAAATCATACGATGCTCAAAATAAAGTAATTGTGAAAATGATTAAAATTAATGATTAAAAATAACAATAAGTACAGAGATAAATAATTATTTTTTTGTTGTGCGCGAAATAAATGCGGAAGTTGTGCGGTGGGAAAAGAAATTGAAAAAATCACGGAACGACATAAAATTTCGTAGAAGCAAACCGATTTTCGAAGAATTCTACTGCGAAAGACCGTCCCACTTTTCTATTTTAATACCACAAAAGAGACAAAGAGTGAAAAGTCCTTCTGGAGATTCGCCAGCCGGTGATGTTTACCGACGAAAAAGAGAAAGGGAGAGAAAGAGAGAGGAAGGGGGAGAGGGGGAGGGTCGTACTAGGAATACGAGAGGGGAAAGGTATTCGGGGAGAGGAGCGTGGAATGAACCTTGCTTAATTAGAAGGGCGTTCCGAAAATTAAGAAGCAGCAATTAGCCGCGATCGACAGGCGAAAGTGCTCGTGGTGCGCTTCTCGGCGACACGTCATCGTACATCTCCATGACTGTTGCTGTTACGACTGTCGCGACACGTGAGGCACTAATGAATTGCGTACTCATGATCGTGACGTAGGAAAAAGAAAAAAAAAGAGAAACAAGAGTCGGATTGTAATCGTTTCACAATCTTCGCGACGCGAGATCAATCGGGGGCTCGATTACTCTGTGTCTGCATTCTGCAATATGCAATTTCACGTGACGCGCCGTTAA